CATTGGTAATTATTGATATTCTTCTTTGTTAATTGAGATACTGATGCTCTGATTCAGGACATGTTCAGCAGATGGATCTCCAACACCCCTCTATCGCTCCAGTAGACTTTTGAGATTGTATACCGTTTTCTATAATAAAGGAACTTGTATTAGGTACGGTCAGAGTAGACGATTCTGGGCGATTCTCGCCTCGATTCTGACGACGATTCTGACGTCGATTCTGGAATTCTTTTTCCCATCAGAATCGTGTGAGAATCGCTCAGAATCGGCTTTTAATTAATTTACAGTCAGAATCGCCTCCAGAATCGTTGTAGAAGCTCCTCTGGAGGCGATTCTACAACGATTCTCGAGACGATTCTGAATTACGACGATTCTCCCACGATAAATAAATTCCAGAATCGTGTCGAGAATCGTCGTCAGAATCACCTATTTAAAATCTACTCTGACCGTCACTATTGTATTTCATTGACATTCATGATACTGGACAATTTCGTTCAAATCGGCAGTCACGCGTCACGCACCCCCCTGTCGATCACGAACTTTGGTCGAGGTCACGCGTCACTCGGGCCTCTGTCGAACCTCCAAGTGGTCACACAGGCCCCAAATTGCCTAAAAAAAAAAAAAAAAGGGAAAAAAGACATAAATTTCGGTTCAAATGCTGAAATTTTCGAGGTGTCACGCAAAAATTCGGCGGCTGCCGAAATGTCGAATAGGTAAAATGGGTCACGCGTCACACCCCATGTCGATTTGAATGAAATTGTCCAGTATTGTAGAAGATCGTAAGGAGCTTCATCTGCAATAGTCCGATGTAATAGGCTGAAGAATGCCAGGAAGGAACAAGCGATCGCATAAATTCCGGCTGAATCACCTATTGACCGTCGGCGGCTGGGTGTAAGCAAGTGCAAACCTTTACACTTGTTTGGCATCAGCATCTTGCCAACGCTTTTGTCAAGGGTTTTGTCGGGTGGTTGTCGGGGCTCTGGATGTGACGTCCATCCCACGACTAGGCTCAAAAGCACAACGGGGCTTGTGTCTGTCGGGGCTCTGGATGTGCCGTCCATCCCACGACTATTTTCTCTATCAAACGCCCTGGGTACCATCTCTCCAGGTCAGTGATGTCTTGTCATATTCTACACTTCGCCCTTTCTTTCTCTCCCTTGCTTCCCGATATCCTCGCGTGTTGTCTCAATTCTTAGCTGACATTCATTCCCCTTACCAGGTTCTCCCTTGACGAGGATGACGTTCCACAAGTGGCCCTCAAGCCGGCGACCAGGGAGCGCCCAAAGAGCATGCCACCGGTGTCGAGCGCTCCGCAGGCGTCGCCTGACCTCAGGGGATCGTCCACGATGCCGACGATGACGGACATGCGGGTGGACGGCGAAGCTGCGCGACCTCGAGCACGCAACGTTTGGTGGCCCCAGCGGATGAAACACGCCCGCACAGACGCCGTCGTCGGCGACGGATAACGACGATTGAATCAACGAGAAGTGGCTGCACGAGCAGGAGCACCGCGGGGAGAAGCGCCAGAAACACAAGGTGGAGGTCTACGTACGCGTTCCTTCTTCTTTTCCTCCCGTCGCTTTCATTTTCTTATTTCTATTGATTTCGCAGATTATGCGGCCCGTCGTACAGATCATCCAGCCGCAGGTGTTCATCCTGAAGCTGACCGTTCGGCAAGTTGCGGTCGCCACGGTCGCCAAGCTCTTCAGTTTCCTCTCTGCGGCCCTGGCCTCGACCGGCTTCTTCTGCCACTTCGGTATCGCATCCAACTCCGTCGTCCTCATTCTCCCTGTAAGCACCTCCTCTTTTCCCTCCCACCGTTTTACTTACCCCCGGCGACAGGGCTTCATCGTCCTCTGGATCCCTCGCGATCATGTCACGCAATATCATCTCGGGGTCGCTGCGCATGTACTGCGGGGTCGTGTACTTGCTCTTCATCGGGTTCGGGCTGGCGATCGGCGCGGAGGCGTACGAGAAGATCACGTCGTAGACGATTATCGGGAGTACACACTATGCGTGCAGCGTGAGCCACGATGCGAACGGGCCGTGGTGGCCGCGGACGAAGAGCTTGTATTGGGGTGAGTATTGCGCTTTCCTTCGTTGCGCTGCGGAACGCAACACTGATTGCTTCTTTTCCGCGACAGCGTTCTTGACGGTGCCGATATACTCACTGTTCTTGAGTATGCGGAACCAGGTGCCGGGGTGGAACAAGGAGATGGTGCTCCTCCTCCTTCTGACCTCCCCCGTGCTTGCGCTGACGACTCGCCACAGATCCTGAAAAAGGTCACCGCCGAGTTTTGCGTCGGCTCGACGCTCAAGCACCCCAACATCATTGCCACCGTCGACATTGTCTCGGACCCCGCCGCGCGTCCGCAAGCCCGAGCACAAGCCCAAGCGCGGCGCGACCATGCCCGCCAGCTCGGTCCTCGACCCGCCGCGGCCCGTGCGCGCGCGTGCAGCCAGCACGAGCTCGCCGCACCTCGACGACCCTGCAACTCGTCCGAGACGACGTCCATCCTCAGCTACACCGATCGCGACTCGGGCTCGACGTCCATCACTGACCCGCCCTCGCGCATCACGACGCACAGCGGCGGGTCCGCGGGTGCGCTCGCCGACGAGCTGGGGAGCCCGCGCTGCCTGCAGATCCAGAACGCGCAGCCCGTGTTCAAGAGCACCGTCACGTTCCCCGTCATGGGCCTGCTCACGACCGACAGCCCCACTGAGGCCGAGATGGACCGTCCGTGCTGACGTTTGCGCGCCCAGGCAACTCTACCGAGTTCCTCCCCCTCAGCCCGCGCGAGCCGTACACGGACCTCACGTTCCCGTCGACGCCGTCGTCGCATACGGACGACCTGCCGACGCCGCGCGTGAGTACGATGCCGCTCGCCGTCACGATGTCGCCGCCACGCACACGCGTCGCGACGTTCAACGCGTTCCACACCGTACACGTCAAGCAGGCCGCAGACTAGGCTACGACCGCCGCCGCCGCCGCCAGCGAGCAGCCCGCGCCCGAGCCGCATCCCGCACCCCCCGTAGAACCGCCAGAGCCAGTAAAGCAACGCCGAAGAAGCGGCAACGCACGGACAACGTGACGACGTTTCATGGTGGAGGCGCCGAGTCGATCTTCCGTTAGTACGCATACTACTACTCCTACGCATTCACGCATGCACGCACGCACACACACACCTATGGAACGCACGCCCCACACACGCACCGGATTGGAAACGGAACGGGAACAGATACGTCTTTTCTTTAAATGTGGAAGGACACTGGCTGGATTTCTCTCTTTTTTTTTCGTCTCCCCCTCCCGCCCGTTTCCGTCCTCGCCGCCTTCTATCCTTATTCATCTCGCTGCCAGCTTCATTTATTATATACATGCGTACCCCATCTTTCCTTTCGATTTATTTTACATACTACTATACCTTACACCGACCCCCCGCGGCGCACACCTTTAATCGTGCGTCGCGGTCCTTGTTCCGAGCCCCGGACCAAAAGTTCACGCGTACATATTTCTTTTACTACCCTTCTTTCCCTTACATTTTCTATCTATTATATACCGCTTAGACACAGTGCTCTGTAATTTTGTACGTATGCACCCTTGGTAAACGAAACAACGACGACGATGATAAAATATTTTCGCGAATCACATCCGCCCCGCCACCATCAAGGAGAAATGTATAAAATACATCAAGCTAGCTGTCTAAAAGAGCTCGTCGACCTCGCGGCGCCGGTCAGCTGCATCATTCGCATCGTGCTTCTCCTCCCCATTTTTCTTTTTCTTTTTGCTGCTGCTAGTCGACGCCCCATGAATGCTGCTAATACATATTAGAGCGAGGAGAAGCGCAAAAAAAAGACACCCACTTGTGCCGTTTTGCTCTTGTGCTTGTGCGCTCTGCGTACTTGCGCTTTGAGACGTTTAGCTTCTCGGCGCTCATCGGGATTTGAATCGGGGATGCGTCTTTCTCCCCAGGGTGGGTTGGGGGTTGCAACTTGCACACGGACATTTGACCGGGCTCTGCGTATCTTCCCAGTATTCACGACCGTAGTCGATGAATAATTGCTCGCCCTGAGAGACGGCGCGGTTGGTCTGGATCGTCATTGCGTACGTGTCGGTAACATGCACAAACTGCACTCAAAGAATGAGCAACGTGCAAGAAAAGTCTGAGAGGAACATTACCTCAACGTTAGGGCGACAATCATGGTTGATCAGACGTATGGGTCCGAAGAGGATGTGTCTGGTGGATTCCCCGGGGTAGGTGACAATGGAAAGGTTGGTGTGGTCCGCCGCAAAGTCGATGGACATGAGTCCAGATAGTTCATGAAAGAATTCGTTCGCCTTGAGGTCGCGACTGGCGAATATAGCAAAACCTTTGGTGTGCAACGGTCCCATGCGCAATACACGTAATTGGACTGGGGACCATGGCGCCAGAAGTACAGTGTATGCGCGGAGAGCCCTGATTGCAGGCGTTGGCTGGTTAAATTGAAGCAGAGAAAAAAGATGTACCAGAGCAGAGCGTGGTACGATTCGGCTGGGAGGTTCATTGTGAGCCACATTTCATCAAAAAGGGCGGTAGTTTTCGTCTTCAGGCCGTCGTACGTTTGGTCCACGGCGAGCAGCTGCTCCTGGTGCTGCTTGAAGAGACTGCGGAGCTGTTGGACATGTCTAATGTCCTGTATGACAGGTGTTTCCGAAAGATGGGCAACGGTGTGGACGTTGCTGGCGGTTTTCTTCGAGACTTGGGCAAACAAGGCGGGGACGATAAGGTCGTCCGCCACTATTGCGAGGTGCGCGGGGAAGAAGCCTTTAGCGAGACGTTTGGCCCATCGCGCACGCCGCGTTGCCCCGTCGCCCCATTTGAAGGCTGGCGCGTGCATGAGGTGAGGTGATGGGACGAAGAGAGAGCTCAACTCAAGTTGTACGACGTTACGTTACGTTACGTTTGTGATCTGATCTTCCGCGACGTGGGAACAGTTCAAAAGATAACGCTAACATGACAAAAAGACACTACTGGGGGTCGAACCCAGGATCTCGCGATAATAACATAGCAGTTGCAATCGCATGCTCTACCACGAAGCCAGATTGCCTACAATTTTGCTCTTATCAGCAGCAGCATAGGAAGTTGAGGTGGCGCAATAGGCAACAAACCACTGGAACGAGCAGTTTCTTTCGACGTTGACAATGAGCTCGGTGGGAGAAGTGTGGAAGTTCGGAAGCTATTCGGCTATCTTATCACACTTACTGCACTTGCTCCTGACTATCACTTCCTCGTCGCCTTTGCGCCGTCCTGACCCTCTAATTCGGACGGCGGAGAGGTAGGTATTTCTGTTCTGCAAGGAAGTATGTAAAAACTCATGTTCACCGGTACAGATTTCGTCCTGGTCGTGGGCTCTGCAAAATAACCGTTTAAAATGTTTTCGACCGGTTTTTACAACTGTTTGTAAAAGTAATGACACTTCGATCATTTTATAAATAAGAAAGCAAACAATACTTCCCTCTTGTTGCACTCATTGTGTAGACTCGCAAGCCAGTTGACGTCCACTCGGTTACAAGACAGAGGCGGGGACGACGAACTAGGAAGGAGGGTAAATAGAGACGACATCAGCACAAATAATGATGAAAACGTAAACACAGGGTAACCTCGTGGACGGACTGGACCCGCATGTCGCCTGTTTTGGTGATGGTTGCTCTCCCCGCCATTTCAGAGGGTACGACTCTGAAAAAATGTGTTTCCCCCCCCAAATCATGAAAATTTGGCCTCGGAAAGTTTGGGCTGAGGATGGATAACTTTTGATTCCCTATCGAATGAGCCCTACTTTTTTTTTCTGATGCCCAAAAACAAGTTAGGCTCATATGAAAGAGAATCAAAAGTTATCCCACTTTTACTAAGACACCTAAGAATCCAATTTTCAAGGTTTCGTGGTTTTCTCAAGTCAGATCCTCTGAAATGGCGGGGAAAATCTTCATCACTGAAACAGGCGACATGGGGGCCCAGCCGGTCCCGGTTGTTGTCGAGTTCTGCGATGGCATCAAATTTCACCGGGCCGGCTGGTTTACGAGCCTACTCATTGTGAGCTCAATTATTGTCCGATTCGCTTGGTTTATGGCGCGTTCGAAGGCGTTACAAAGGCGCTTCGGCCTGTAGTGGTCGCAACCTTTATCTCCAAGTTTAAGATCGAAAATTTAAACTTGGAGATAAAAGTTGCGACCACTACAGGCCGAAAGCGCTGGAATATCTTTTTTAATTTTCTGGCTGTGCGCATATTTTATCCCTTCCCGATGCACTGCGTGAGAATCAGTCGCGCATTGCGACGGATACAATTTATCCGCACAAGCGATCGGTCGATCGGCGGAGTGTCGATCACACAAGAAAACTGTCAACACTCATATTTCTTCTCGAGACTGTTTCTTCATCATGTACCTCTCATTCCGAATTGCAAACCACCTCTAGCGCTGACAGCAACTCACGACAGCCATGGAAAGGTCGATTCAGGCGTGGGGTTTCGGAACCCATCAATATGATCCGGCCGGGATCTGCGTGAATTGACGGATGCCCCTGTAAATCTCGATCGTTGCCACAATGCTCCTCAGTTGACGCCATGAGGACTCTTCCGCGGCTGCCGCCCCACCCTTCCCCTCAGTCTACAGATCCCCTCACAGAGAACATATCTGCCTCACAATTCCAACGATTTTCTGCGTGCACACAAGGTGAGGTGTGGCTGCAAGTCCGAAAACCGGCGGGTGGATCTGTGCGGAATTATAGAGCCGACCTCAGCTGCGGAAAATCGGCCGAAAGATGCGAGCGGATGGCCGAACTGGGGAGAAAGTCAGTAAATTTGTGACTTGGAAACTGGTTTGAATAGATTTTAAGCGTAGCCACTAATTTTTACTCAGAAAACCATGGGACGAGTAAATCAACCTGCATCACACACCGGAAAGTGAAAAAATTCACCTGTGATGAGCTTGTAACTGAATTTTTGAGATTACAGCTAATTGCAGTACCGAAGGCGCGAACCAAAAAAATCGTGTTTTGGGATATTTTCAAAGAATTCCTGATATCTCAGCCAGTTCTTCACCGATTCACATAACAACTAGATAGATCTACTCAGCTAATTCATGCGCAATTAGTGATAGAAAGGAATTCGTGAAAATATTGCGTATTAGGTAATTTTTGGTTTCAGGCTGTTTTCACACCGAAAGCTATCTAGCATACCGAGAACATGTCCCAGGAGCCTAGTATTTTTAGCATGGACAAGATATATAGCTTAGAGAACATGTGATAGAGCCAGAAACACGGATAAATTATGTTCAGTCCTTCTAGCTTCCTCGGATACATTTGCCAGTTTTGGCATTGAGAGATATTGTAAAGATTACATTTATCTAGGAATTTCATATATTTCTGGCTCTATCACATGTTTCCTCAGCTATTAGTGTTGTCCATCCTACAATATTAGGCCGCTGGGACATGTTCTCGGTATGCTAGACAGCTTTTGGTGTGAAAACAGCCCGAAACCAAAAATTACCTAATACGTAATATTTTCACAAATTCCTTTATATCACTAATTGCGCATGAATTAGCTGAGTAGATCTATCTAGTTTTTATGTGAATCGGTGAAGAACTGGCTGAGATATCGGGAATTCTTTGAAAATATCCCAAAACACGATTTTTTGGTTCGCGCCTTCGGTACTGCAATTAGCTGTAAGTCCTGCTTGAAACCATGAGTGAATGTTAGGAGTTTCGTTAACAGTTTCAAATGATCTGAATGTGTCAGTTAATTTCAGAGTTTCGGAAGCAGTTTCAAACCGTATGAATCTCAAAAATTCACTAATCATTTCATATAGCAACTAATCTAGAAAATTAAGTTGCAAGTTCACTATAGGTGAATATTTTCATTTTCTCCGGTAATGCTCCTTGACAGCCAAGATAAGCCCTAGGAATAGACTCGTACCCAGCTCTATGTTGAGTGCCGAATCACAGTAGTAGTATGCG